ACAAAATTCCACGCCCGAGGGATGTACCACGCCTCCTTTTACAAACTCATTTGTATACACCTTACTATAACCGTCTACCATAGATATGTCTTCGTACAAAATTTCAAGTTCTTTTGACTTATCTATCTATTTCGAAGTTATAGCTGATTAAACATTTGCAGACCTATTGGAGGTGCCACGCCCCTTGCAAAATTTACGACATATTTGCAAATAAAACCATACCATATATCCTTCCCGGGGTAAAAACAGGTCGGCAGAGTTTCGTGCGATTCCATGTCGTGGTTCCAAACTTATAAGGTAATAAACAGACAGACATTCACATTTACATATATATCGACTGCTGAGTCGAAGATCGACCTATCTCGGCAGCCAGTTCGAAAACGCTCTATCTCAAAAATATTTTCAAGATCGCCCTGTTTCAAAATTTGGTTGAAGAACGCCCTATCTCCGAATTTGTTTCAAAAATGCCCTATTTCAGCTGCCGATTCAAAAACGCGCTATGTCAGCACATTTTCAATACATTTTGAAGTGAGATAGGGCGTTCTTCAACCAAATTCTGAGATAGGGTGTTCTTCAATAAAAAATATGAAATAGGGCGTTCTTGAAAAGTTTTTTGAGATAGGGTGTTTTCGAACTGGCTGCCGAGATAGGTCGATCTTCCACTCAGCAGTCGATATATAGATTGTATAATTCCGGTAGAAAACCGACACTTTTTGTGATTCACCCTAAAAAAAAAACATTTATGTATGCATATATATGTAACTATGCTTATGCATGCACGTATGTATGTAAGCAGCTACATGTAAATATGTACTCAGAATGAGTAATGTAAACACAGCTGCAAACTCTTAAGATAAGCAAAACTTGTCTTGATAACAAATGACAATTTAAAATTAGCAGCTCTTCATGGACAGTTAAACATACGTATATATCGTTTACTTTAAATCGAAGGATTCCCTTACTGATGCAATTGTTATACATATATATTTTATTTGTTTTCGTTCTAGATTATATATCGTCACTACACACGAATAAAGTCGCGATAGTGTTTTGACGGCGAAAAAAGGCGCGTAAAAAAATTTTGCGAAAAAAGATGCTTATGAAAAACTTCGGCGAAGTATGTTTAGAGTTTTTGACGCTAAACGTGGAAAACGTTTAAGCGCCAATCATTCGTTTATTGGGATCAAATACGATATTGGTACTGTTCATCCCCCAAACAACCTAAAATTTTGAAACTATTTAGGGGCTTCCCTTGAACTGCAGAACTTCGAAAAACCTTAAAGTTTTATTCAGAGGTGAAGATTTGGATGAAATTAAAAAAAAAAACCGGTTTGTTCGATCAAAAAATCCGGGTTATTCAATATTCGAAAAATAAAGATTTCAAAAAACGTCTATAGATTTCCCCAAAAAAAAAACGGTGGAAACCGGTTTCGAACAACCGAGTCAATCACCCTACTGCACATAATATACTTATCAAGCTTATTAATATTATGCGATATGTCGGATTTTCTTAAAAACGAAATTCTTCTGTGTGAATCTTAAAAACAAAAAAAAAAAGTATTTTTTTACTATGACGTTCTTCCAGCAATCGAGCGATGTGTACATAGCCCACGCTTTTGATTCGTTTCGGGACCAAAGCGATGACATAATACCCTAGCTTGACATCATCATCATCATCACATCACGTACACATACTGCACACATAAATACATATTTACATACATTTTGGGAGCATTTTCTATGCGAAAGAGCCACTCACTCTACTTATACATTCTTTGCAAAAGTGTTCGCGAGGTTGGTCACAAATAGTTGTTGATGCCGATGTTGCTTCTTTTGAATTTGCATATTTAATTTTCATTTATTTTTTCAACCCTCCTCCCAATTCTATTTGCTTATTTATGCAGTTAATTCAGTATCGAAAAGTTTAGCATTCCAAGCAGGATATCTACATATGTATGTATACTCGTACATAAATAAGTATATACATATGTATGTATGTGATTATAAAGTACTAGTTAAGGTTCAGTATACGCTCTGTTACCCATTAACCCATATTGATCACTTGATAGAAGACTGCCACAACTCAAAACATTACGCGGCGGATCCCGATTTTTTTTTTTTGGTTTTGCGAGAAATTTTGCCATTTAATATAATTTTTAAAGTGCGATTCTCTAAAATTTGAATTATTTATAGCGCTCTAGGGGTTATGCTGTGTTCACACTATCTCAATTTAGAGATCATTCATAGTTTATGAGCAAATCATGTTGAAATCAGATATTTCAGCTTGTAAAACCTGTCACTAAATTAAGAATAAGATATTAAACGAAGGGCCGCACAGTGCTTTCTGAAGGGGGGGGGGGGGCAGAAATGAAAAATTTTGTCGTCTCAAATATAGACGTATTTGGTATTTTTGAAAAGGTTCTTTATCCATTATCAACGCTCCGGTCTCAATTTATGTATAAAATGAATAATACGCAGTAAAAACGCCCTTGAAGTTGACGTATGTCAAGCCAAATATTTAGTTCAGAGCCACATCTGTTTTCGGCTTTAAACGGAAAAATTTTCGAAAGTACAACTTAAAGAGATACTAAGTTAAATTTTTCATTTTTCCATTTACAATGGCTTAAAAAACAACAAAAAAATAATAATTTGTTAAACAAGTTTTAGTTCTGTTCACTGAGAAATAGTAGTTTTTAAACAAAGTTAATATGTGATCGATTGAACAAAGTGACGTTTAATTTAGTTACAAAAAATACTTTTTTTTAATTTCCATATGCGAATATGGAGAAAAGAAAAATGACACTGTTGCAAAAAATCATGTTTCTTTTTACCTCCCTTTTATTAGCTCGGGATGTAACTATGTAATATTGATGCGCCTAAAAGATGCAGCGATTTCTATTCTCAAGTACATACCTGATGACAGTACGAATGGAAATTATAATAGCGAGGTTTTAGTTTTTTAAACTATAATTTTATTTAGTTGGTCTTGATTAAGGCATGGACAATATTCACCATTATTCTGATTTTCTTTAGTTGTTGTTGTTGTTGTAGCGGCTACTTAGCTTTGCCTAGATCGGCTTTTCCCTCAATCTTTTTCGTCAAGCCTAACTAACGGGATACCCAGGAAGTGTGCCGCTCCAACTGGGTCGGTCCATAGGAACTAGGGCGTTAGTTTGGTAGTGCTTAGGGGCATGCGAAGAGGCGTTTTGCGTGTCGCGAGGCGACTCTCCGCATGCCTGGGTACTTGTTAGTACATCTGAGTTTATACTACTCAGGTAGGAGTTTAGCCTGCTGAAGTATCCAGAGCGAAGTCAGGCAATGGTGATGGGAGTCTCTCGAGGAAGACGAAGTTCTGTCTCGTTCACAGGTCGAGAGTCGGTGCAAGTCGAGGCCGACTTCTTGTGAATGCCGTTTATGGCCTGTCGGCTGGTTTCGCGTTCGCGTACTTTTGCTAGCATTTCTCTCTTTAAGAGAGATCAGATAAAATGCATTAGAATCAAGACATATCAAACAGGTAGTAGCATTAGTGCAAAAACAAAATTTGCGTGTATTTTGTTGTTGCTTCTGGTATCGAAAGTGTCAAAAACTGTTGATTTTTTTCTTCTAAATCAACACGTGCCATGTGCAATACAAAAAAAAATTAAATATAAAAAATGTAAATTTAAATTGGAAAAAGTGAAAATTGTTACAACTTTCTTTCTTAGTAAATTGATTTGCTTCTGGAAGCACTGATCTATCCTTCGCAAGCCCCAGTAATCAGCGGTTGTGCTGCTGAGTTGGGCGAGTGTTCCAAAAGCTGTTATTCAATCGCTTGTTTTGTATGGAAAAAGGTTTCACTGTAAATACATTTTAACAATTTGGAATTTTTGTAAGAAATAAAAAATATTTTACATTTTCGAGCCCAAATAATTTACAAAAAATCAAATCAGCTGCTATACTGATACTACCTGTTCAATGTGCCTTGATTACAATTTTGCTGCTGAGAGTTTTCTGCTGGTAGAAACCGCGAATACACCTATTACAAGGTATATTCCATATATCTAATACTTCTATAATGGCAGTAAGCTAACTTTTCAATGTGTTAGCATTCCGAAATCAAAGCGAGACAGTCTAGTACCGTTTTTGTCAATGTGTTGTGTACTTGAGTGCCGTTTTTGTATATGTGTTGTGTACATGTTTATTTATAAACGTATGTGTTCCTTTTCTCTCGTACGTGTTTATTTATATATCTGTACTGTAGTGTTTTCGGACGGTACTAGCTCGTACTGCCAATATAGGAGTATTACATATATGGTATATTCACTCTCAATTCGTCGGCCATGATTTTTTTTCTGATGTTTGCGAGCATTTTAAAATCATATAAAAATGAAAATAAAAAATGAAATTGTTCGCAATTGTTGTTTGAGATTAAAATGAGAATATGTGTGCGAGTTTGAGTTTTGAACTTTTAAATTATATTGCTGGAAAACGTCAGACTACCTCTCAATGGGTTTACCTTGTTGTTTTTATCATGTACCTTACTATGTTTTTATCATGCTTCTTCCTACTACCATATTATATGAGTATTTTTCTGCATAGTAAACAATGAAAATTTTCAAATTGTGAATAGCTGCTATAATTAGGTACTATATATAAAGTTGAAGTTGCGGTATTACCAGTCAAAACTAGAGTAAACTAGCAGCAGGAAGTTGAGTAAACAAATTTTTCTCTATCAAAAAACACTTTCACAGCCGTCATTAAAAACCGCGCAAGTATTCAGGCAAGTTCTGCAATTCAATTCCGATTGAATTTCAATCAAATTTGTTTTGAGTTCAAATTTGTAGGGGTTGAAATTCACTCGGAAGTGAGTTGCAGAACCTGCCTTCAAAAGTATTTTTCGTAAAAAAAACACGCCTGTGCCAATGACACTCCAGTGCGTATGCAATGTAAATAAATGAAAACTTCTTGGCAATGCCGTCAACTTCTACTTCCTTCTACAATCGAAGACAATAATATATATCCATTCTTGAGTTTCTTTTAAAAATTTTATTTCTTGTTTCTTTGTTTTAGTATGTTGTGGAAAACATATAACTCCAGATTTATCTAATATCTCCCCATTTTGCCCATCGCCAAGCCTTAAACGCTCAAGAAGTTATCTGGGAACTCGAAGGTCACATCTCGACCGGTGAGCTTTTTGTACACTGAAGTAAATGTATCAACCTGAAAAGAAAATCAAAATATTCAATTAAAGCACAGCGGTGTTTAAAAATTAATTATATTTTCTGTGTTCGTAAGGAATAGTACTTAATGTCGGGAAGCTGGCTTTCAATATAATGCGGCATTGCCTTTATTCTATAACCGACGAGGAATTTTTTGATGAGCTTAATAAGAATATTGACTTGCTAGTATCGGAATTCATGCACGTTTATTTGCCAAAATTACTTCAACGGTTCGGCGCCCGTGAGTCATTCGCAGTCGTATGCTGGGAATGCAGCATTACACTAAAGCCAGCCTTTCGACATAAGCTACAATTCCATACGAACACGAACGAACAAGAGATTTATATTAATGGAATTATACTGTTAGCTTCGACAATACAAATGTTGCATACCAAGTGTAGTACAACAACCTTCTGGACGAAGCTTTTATTTTACCGCCTATGTAGGAAGTCCCAGTTCATCGAGAGCTTTAAGAAAAACGGTGAACGGGAGGCAAAACAGCGGGTTGATAATACATATTCGTTAAAATTTCTTCTGAAAACTGTACACAACTCTAATTAGTCTTCCTTTCAATTATAAGAGAGGAAGATTCACTATTTTATTAAAATTAGCCTTAAATTTAATATACGTTCTTTTTGACAATCATTGACCTTGATGAGCGATCAACAAACAACACAAGAACGTTGCAAAAAGGGCACATTTACACATTTGAATTTACTAAGTCAACGTGTTTCCAAGGTATGGAGAAGTCTATATACCAAATGGGCAATTTGAAGACTGTAACGAGACTTTGGAATTTAATTTCCGCCCCTTTAGACAATCCCTGATCTTTGAGAACGACCAGCAAATAACACAGGGACGGGATTTTTAAAATTATAATGCCCTTTTTACACTTTTGCGTACTAATGATTAGTTTTGTAGCCAATGTATGCAAATGTCTTCCCGCAATGCAGGCGATTTGAAGACAATAATGAGACTTGGCATGTAATGTCCGTCCCATCTGACAATCACTGATCTTGGACAATCAATCAGCAAACCACCCAGGGACGGAATCACAACTTAACCTATTAAGACTTTTCCACAACTTACTTTATGCTCAATGGTCGTCTGTTGGTTCTTGTCCAAATGCACCTTAATCAATTGCGAGCCATCCAGCTTAACCCGGATACGCTTGCCAACAATTTCTGCTGGGAAGACTAAATCTTCCAGAATAGCGTCGTAGACAGCAGTTAAAGTACGGGAACGTGGTCTCTTTTGCTTCAAGGGATTCCTGGCCTTACGGGTAGGTTTAGGCAGAATTTTGCGTTCGCCAATCACTACAACGTGTTTGCCAGAAAATTTCTTCTCCAATTCACGAACCAAAATGATTTGAATTTTTTGGAACGTCTTTTGTTGCGGGATGGGAACATAGATTATGACGGCCTACAATACAAAACTGTATATTAAAATGTATTTTCCAGAGACAGATATTCTTTGTTACTCACCTTTTTGCTGCCGAACTCAATCTCACGCGCACGAGTAATATGCAAATCTCTCAGATAGGGTTTAAGGTCACTGTTGGCCTCCAGCTCCAAAAGAGCTTGGGCAATCGACTTTTCGAAGTCATCAGGTTCAGCGCCGCCGGGCTTGATAATCTTGTTGGCGATCATCTAAAAATATAGGATATCATTTCCATTAAAAAGAATTCATAAAATGACGACATAATGCAAACACTAAGTAAAACAGCGTCCGACCGGCAAATATTTCATCTGTTAACATCCACGCCAACGACTACATTTTTTACATTATTATTTAACAAACTCGACCATCGGTTGTCAACGTTTAATTTCTTTGTGGCATTTTTTGCAATAACACCAGTCATATATCTAATTCAGAAAATATGCGATAGTAGCACAAAAATACACCAACCTCGGTCAACTATTTTGACAGGAAAGGAAGTAAAGCAACGCCATTGAACAGTAACTTCCTTCAAAATTGCGCCATAACGAGTAACGAGTGTACGAACTGTCAAAAATTAGCGAGTGTGAATGGATCGGCTAGTAGCCGGCAGATGGGGCCCGAAATACACAGGGTGGCCCGGAGCAGTATGCTGACGATGACCAGAGAACGTAAAGTTATGAGAAGATGCAAATTTTTGTATCGTAAAAACGAAAGCCTGAAACGTTTCAACGATGGGTTTTCACCGCGGTTATTTAACATTTCAAATTGACTTTACAGAGTGGTGTGCAGGAAAAATGTTGTCAACAGTATTGTGCAGACAGTATTATGCAGAAAATATGTTAAAACCTATAGGTATGTATGTAAATTATACTTTTCTAATCTAAATGGTAAAAATTGCGCCAAAATTGATACAAAAGGAGGGAAAGTTTGACTTATGTGGTTTCGATTAAAGCATGAACCATATTTTTTTAAAAAAATAACAAAAAAATGTTTACTTGAAAAACATTGTAAGTATTATACAAAAAAGAACCATGCAATCACTTTTGATTGCCCGTGTATGTACGTATGTGTGTCTAACAAATTATGGCTTGTTATCAAAATACCGATATTAACTAATACACTAAATATTATATAGTACAAATGTGTTTGTAAAATTAATTTCATTAAAATTATTTCTGCAATCAAATTTTCTAATTATGCAAAAAGCCAAACGCATAAATTTGTACGTACATATATACACATGCCTTTGTAAATATGTAGGTATGCAATGTATGTATGTAACATACACACAAATGTACGATTGGTCGGCATTCGTCTTCCCCTCGCCGCTGCCTTCAACACAAATTATTCAATTTCTGCGAATCGGCACCAGATTGGCACGTGCGCGAAACCATTAACCCCATGTTTGCGAAATATTTAGATTTTCGCATAAGTTTGCATTTAATAAAGCAATACTCGTACATTTTGTATGAAGAATAGTTTGAATTAATTTAAAATTCTGCATGTAACCATGTTCTCGACGATATATGTAACTTTCATAAAGATTAAACATAAAAATTGTGCTTCATTAACAGTTGGAACCAGCTGAAACCCAAAAAACTATGTCCGCAAATGGGTTAAACACAAACTGGAATTGGCATTTTTTACACGCATACATGCATACATTCATATACACATGTACAGTGGAGTAGCACTAACTTGGACATAGCATTGATTGTACTTTGATGTGTTTGAATCTTTTTATGGTACTGAAGATTTGGTTACGGATGAAAAAAATTTAAAATAATCTGTGGATATGTATAAATATATTTTTATAAACTCTTAGAGGTATAGAAATTTTTAAAATTAAAAAATAAATCAAATAATTAGTTTGCATATATGCATATGGTGTTCAAGGCACATTGACCCACCTGTACAAAAATTGTGGCGCGTCATGGACAAAAATTTTATAATTTCGGACCGAAAAATATGAAAACGAGCTAAGTTGCCACGTTACATTTGTGACATTCCGATAAAACCAAATATGTTTGTGATTTTAGAAGTTTTGATTTTATTAAAAAAAAAATCAATGTATTTTCCTGCAGAAATCGTAGACTTTTATTTAATGTTTATTAAAATTACACCTTAAAATACTAGTTAATGGTTGAAATATTGGAAGGGAACAGAGAAATTGAGTGTTTTGTCAAAAATTACCAAAATTCGAGATAACTTATTTTACTGGATATAGAGAAATAATTGCCACTTTTCACTTGGCTGGCCGAGATTTCTTCAATTTTACATTTTAGAATTATTGTGTCGGATTGACAAAGTTGCGCTTG